GGTTTTGGGTATTGCAGGGACCACTGCACTCCTATGACGCAGCTAAGATTCGCTCCGTCAAGCGACAACAAAAATAAGGTATCGATAGGTGAGCAGGGAAAACGCTTTAAGCCCATGTGGTGTAATGGATGGTTTATAGGAAAAATTGCTTGAACAAGAGTCGCTTTGTTTTGAGTAATCACTAGAAACAATCAATAGAAACACGGCAGGCTTTGGACAATCCAATAGCGGGATTGGCGGTTGGATAAGGGTCTGCACAAGGGGCATAGCACAATTGTTTTGACCATTTCTCGTAGTGGAAGCAGCGTTAAGTATTAGTGCCGATTGGGCAATTTTCAACCGCCGGTTTTGCAAGTCTGAAATTCAACAAGTTCACACCCGCTGTAGAAGAAAAGCCAACATTTTTGTAGAGCACGCAATTCTTTTTCGAACGTTATACAGCGTAATATATGCAAGGGGACGGTACGACATCCCTATGACCCCTGAAGACACACGCCCTGTCGAGGATTTCCTTGACCAATTTTCCCCTGCTGTGAAAGTGCCAAGACCGATTTCGCGTTTGCTGCACTCGGCAATGGCGATTCGCTTTCTTAGCGCCTGCCAAACTTGCGTTCATCTCCTTTACGAATCAATGGCCCTTTCCATCCTCACGTGGAACACTTGTAGTGGAAAATTACAGTGTCACGGGAGTGGTAATGGACGATTGGCGACTCGAGCTTAAGGCGTCCTCGCGATTTCTTCAGTTGTGTTCATTTCAATCACTCATAAACACATGCCCGTCGCACCTTCAAACACGTGTAAGCAGGGTGAGTCTGCGGTCGAGGAGTCCTCGACGGGGGTCGTATTGTAGGCTGGGTCATGGGGGGTCGTACTCGTTGGCGTCAGTAACATCAGTGGCATCGTAGTGCAGATAGGAGCAAGAGGGTGTAGCGCAGCAGAAAAGGAAGATATGTGAGAAAAATGATATAATGTTCTTTGGTTCAGTTCTCCATTCCTCTATCTTTATTAGAAGGGCGTATTTGACAGCAATACAAAGGAAGGAAGTGCATCCCCCAAGCAAGACAGCCACATATGCACGCGCGCTGCATGCCCCTATCTACCGTCCGCCATCGTACATAATACCGGTAATAATAGTAATAATGGCACTGTTGTTAGGGACCCTGTCGCAAAAACGACAACAGTGAAGAAAAGGCTCTGAGCAAATGAAGCTGTTTCTCAGGCGATAAGAGTTACGAAATGTGTTTACTACAATGCAGCTTCTGTCAACTGGTCATGATCATATGACACCTTCGAATCGATCTGCAACTTCGAGTGAAGGCCGTATGCATGGCCTGTACCCAGGCAGAGTCGGATGATGACGATTGCCCCTTTTCGTATTGTTTATTTCGTAAAAACGTATTCTAGACACATTTCTAGCGTTGCCAACGAATTACACGTGCAATGGTGAAGAAGGGAGCGGCTTTCCGAGCGGCCGATAATCATCCTCGATGGATCCTCGACGCAATTATCTCCTCAACTAGACATTGTAGAAGAAAGCCAAACACACCATCAGAAAGCGCAAACCTTCCGCTTCCCAAAACTACCTTCCCTTCCTCAATATCTCACTATATTAGTGAGATATTGCTTTTGAAGTGGCGAAAACTCGCGCAAAAATTTCAGCCTCCTCGACGCTGACTCGACGCAGATTGAGAGACCATAGCTCTCTGCATGGAAGGCTTTCAGAGCAATTTAAATAATTGTTGAAAACGCGAGATCCAGCCCTACCAAAACCTAGCTCGTACTGCTTCAAATGTTATGAAATGGATGAATGCAACCTTTTCATCGAGGGTGTAGATTTCGACGATTTTTTTCGCGATTTCGGCAAATCTGACCCAATGACAAATCGCGCCGCACCTACCGATGAATCTGCTGTTGAGCGATACACTCGGCTGTTGTGAATACTCAAGCAGGAATTATGATTCAGTTGCAACCCGTGCAGTGAGAGGATTTTCGTGCATTTCTAAAGGAACCTGCTTCTGGGACCACACAGAGTTCTTGCCTCCTTCCTCCAGTCCATATTTCAGCGAGTGCTAGAAGTTTGCAGCGATGAGAGAAAGTGTAAGGAGGACAATATTATTATTACCATTACTAATACTCATTATTTTATTTACTATCACTATTGCTTTTTATGTTATTACAATATTATTTTGCAGGAGTTTTTTTTATTTCAATTGCTGAAGTGGATTAATTGCGTATGCTCTCTGTTTTAGGGGGTCGTGCCAAGACCTCGATTCCAGGGGGGGGTCGTACCTCCGCGACCACGTCCTCGACACGATTTTCACCCTGCCCATCTGGTCGTGACTGTGATGCCACATGCAATCGTGAGATTGCAAGTGCTCGACAGTTACCGTGTCAATATCTCGACTTCGAAATCGTTTTTTTCGATTCACATCGCAGATGGACTCCTCGGATGGTTGAATCAAAATACTTTACGTGAGTCGATAGTTGCATCAGGGCTTTCTCTTTGTTGAGGAGCTCGTTCGGAGGATCTACGTCTCAGTTCATTCTATTTTTTCAGCAGGCCAATTTTTTACATATAAACTGGCCCTTAATCTTCAGATAGTCATACAAGTGCTTTAAATGTTTAGTACCCTCTGTTGGGCATGCGAAGCCGATATGTTATTTAGATTATAGTTGGCTTCGACAAATGAAATGCCAAAACCGATTCCGCAAAAGTCCAGTTCTTTTTGTCAAGAGCTTGGATCTCGCCGCTTTTTTAAAGGAATCTTGCGCGGAAAATTCTTGCACTCTTTCCTAACATGAATATGTCAGTTGTGATCACTGGAAATAGCACACAAAGTTTCACGCATGAAGATTCGGTTTCTGAAGAGAAACAAACGTACAAAAACTACACGTTATGGACCATCGAAGGACCAGGAGGCAGAGCCAGGCGAGGCATGGAAAGAAGACGGCGTTTGGCCGGCTACGTACCAGGCGACGCAATGAGAGAATCGGGTTAAAGCGCGCGATTTCGGAGAGTGGAGACAAATCGATCGATGGAATAGGATGGAGTAGAAGTGTAAGATGTGAATGCAACGAAGCAGAAGGCCAGAAAGAGCTTCTAGTGAATGCACTCCAAGAACCAAGTTTGAGCATCCCCGTCGCCAGCATTCGTGAAAGACGTCCGTGGGCAATTCGAACGCGTAGCAGCCTTTTCGAGTTTTCGAATTTCTAATCAAAACGAAAGCAATACTTCAGTTCTTTTCACTATTATCGTGGATAATGAGTCTCAAGCCAGTGATTTATGGTTGAAATAGAATCATGATTTTTCCGCGCAAGAATCCTTTAAAACAATCCGCTACACGGATACCATCAGAAACCCAGTTAAAGCTAATAGATGGGTTATGCTGTGATTGCGTATCTACCCATTTTAGCTTTCTGGCCGCTCTTGAAACGCGATAACTGCAGGAGCTTAGGGTGTTTCGCACACGAAAAACTGCCCGTATTGAGCAAGTTATTACGAGGCGAACTCGTGTACTAGTTTTGTAGGTGTTCTCATTCACGAATGTTTAAGTATACTTTGACGATGACTTTAACAGCTCCAACATCTCGTAGTTCAGGGCCGACATCAGGCAATACAGGTTCAAATACCACCCCTCGTGCGTTGCCTTGTAAAGGTTTGCTTCACTGCCATTTTTTCATGCAACAGAAATCGACTGATTTAGAAAAGATAACTTGCTGCTGGTCTTCTCACTTTGCGGAACCAACACCCATTGACCTTGAAATAGGGCCTGGAGTCCTGCACACAGTTCCACAATTTGTATAATTCATGTCGCGCACAGGTCGTTCCACATATATGATAGAAACGGTTAATTTTATTCACAACCGTTATGAATACAATATAAAGTAATATTTATGCATCCAGTTCGACTACGATTATCCACTTCGTGAGTTGTTTTGAACTCTGGATTTTCTTTTTTGCATATGTAGGGAAAGCTTTCGCTTCCGACGGGTGCTTATCTGGACAGTTTTTTCCTCATTTTATAGTTTAAAAACGAGAGATTTTACGATAGATGCGTGTGCAGCATGGAAGTACATTGCGGTGGAAGGTGTGTCGGGGTCTAGAAAGCGAGATGTGCCTTTTCGATTGCTGAATGCGTTGCAAGTTCGGCCCCTAGGGATTGCCAGACCTCTCCTTATGCTTGGCTAGCCGCCTGTGCTCGGCTCCTGAATGGTTTATGCGCAACTATTCTTAACCCATAACGGACGGCGTGCGCCACAAGGTGGCGCACGACTATTTCTTTTGTTTTTGGAATGTTTCTAGCAATCTTAATATACCCATATATACTCTCAGCAATGTGGAATAACATATCTTCCCAGGACCTGGACGGCTGGATTTTTGACAAACCTACAATAAATTTTACATACATTTTGTCTTTACATAAGTTTACTATTTTGATGGTCGACGTTCGACCCCTTCCCCTAAATATAGCCACATCCTTGCTCGGGGTTGTTGTTTCGCATTTTTCGATAATGTCACCTACAGCTTCCATTCATTCTTTGCACCCTAGTTTTAGAGCGGAAAGGCGGGCTACGAACTTGTCGTCAACGGAAATCTCTTTTCGGATGATGAGACTCGAATCTACTTTAGCCCCGTCTTACCCCTGCTGTTCACATAGCCACATAAACGCCTACCTGGGTGGCTGGCTGTGGCCACATAAGGTTGGCGCACTGCGAAATCTAACACTAGCCGTCCGTTTATGGGTTTATGATTCAATTGGAAGTGATCGTATAACTGTATTTCAATCCGGTACGATGCCGGCGATATTTCGTTTTTATGTGGATATTTTCTCGAAGTAATTGTTTCGTTAGCGCTGTATGCTGATACCAACAAACATGCAGTTAGAAAATTTGCGATTGCGCAGGGGCTTTTTTGCCAGTTGAGTTCAAGTGGTTGAACTCCAAAGAGACACTCTGATTCGATATGACGTTCGCGCTTTTTTCTCCATATCGCTGGCCTAAGGGTTACAGGAGTTTTCGACGTTTTTTTTCAAGGACCTCTGGCTAAAGGATGATTTCAATTTTTTAGTATGTGTTCGACTGAAATTTACTCGTGGTAGGTGGTCGAGTAATAGTCGTTGTTTTCTATCACTGAATCCGATTGTCTTCGCAAAAAGAAAACGGAACATGGGATATGAAAGCGTTTCCTTCGAGACCTGAGTGAAATGGCTTGATAAGAGTGAAAATCTTTGCACTGAATGTTTTAGTATATTAACTCTAGACGATACTGTGTTTGAGTGGGAAGATAGGGTGATGAAGGAAGGTTTCTCGAATGAAATTCGTGTGTTGCAGAAACCGCGAGGCTGATTGAGATTACCTCTTGCAGGCTCATTCCTCTTTCTGGAGAGGATGAAAGTGAGTGTGAAAAGGAGCATAAGATTCTAAAGAGAAGGTATCGATATTCGAATCGTACCTGTCTGATAGGTATTGCGTTAGTATCGTCAAGACAGTAGATGATCTCGGTATTGACTCGGTCCGGATTGGTGGCTAGAAAGCCCAGACAGCGATCCACGATTGCTGCAAGATTCCCAGCATAGATCTGAACAGGCCATAGATACATCGATCTGGCTATTCTAGCGAAAAAGATTTCTCTTACAAACTGATGCATTCCCCTGCGTTCGCCGTCTATATACGGTAAGTTACCGTTCTCGGCCATTTTCATCAGAGAACGCCATGAAGACGACGCTTCTTCGGCATGCACATGAACTGGTCGAAGAAACACTCCCTTCAACGACGAACCTTAAACAGAACTAAATTCGAAAGTGAGTCCAAAACAGAGCAATACTAGAATACGGTGGCAATGTGAGGCGATCACCATTGGCTGTAGCTTTCCGTGCATACATTTCTCCCCTCGTTCGTGACTCGCCATATTCACCAAGGATATAATCCGCAGGATAAGTACTGTAAGCATGAACATCAACATCGCCATACCGGATTTTGGACGTGGACTCACTTGAAAACCATTTCTCCGAGGCCATAATTATCCTCGATTGGTAATGCTGAGTAAGCGTCACCAACATAAACCAGATTCTTCACACCCATCTGAATCATTTTGTCCACCAGCATCTCGGTTGCTAAAAACGAGATAATTTTTCAGAATAGTATCTTTTAACTCTTTTGAAACTGTAGAAAATTTTATGTTTTCCTGAAATAAACTGTTCGACATCTTGCACTTTTTCAACCTACGCAGCCAAAACAATACAACATAATACTTCGGCACAGAACAATACGCTGGCATTTTCGCTGTCATATTCAGGATTAGCTTAGAAATTATAACATGCGACTACATTTGAGCCTTATAGCAAGCAATTAAAGCCAACCAGAGAGATTGTCCCTCCATATGGCTTCGCTTGTTTTCTTGTCCGAGTATGTCCATGGAAGTGGAGCATGAGAGCAGTGAACTACCGCATTACATCCATGAAGTGCTTGTTCCAGTGCGCCTTCGTGCGCTCGGCAGTTTGACGTCGATGAGTAATGGCGTAAAGTCAAGACTGCCAGAACCTGCAATTATGCCTTTTGAAGATGATCTCGGTTCGCTGCGGCCAGGTGTAGTGAGCCAACTAAAGAACTTGCGACCAAACCTTAGAGACTGGAAGGGATTCTGGGGGAAAACTCGAACAACCTTTGTTCTCCCTGACGTTTCTTCCCTTTCCTAGGTTCGTTTTGGTGTCACCTACCAGCGGTATTCAAATGCCCTGTATTGAGTGTCCTCTCTCCCTCCCCCAGGTCACGAGTGCTGGGAACCATTCTTAGCTTATAAAATTTTTTACAACGTGGTTCTCGTATGAGATAGGAGCGTCAATTGCTGTAATCACGTTCATTTGCCGATATACAGGACGAGGTGTTGACAACGTTGCTGAAACCTGGGAATGGAAAGTGGTGTAAACCTTTGGGAAAGAATTCAGGGATCCTAACACCAACGATCTCGCTTATCTGACACTTTGTAGGACTGACGAGTCTTACACCAGTTCACACTCTCGATCGTTAAAGCCGTGCGCGCTTCGATTTCATTATAAAAAGTTAAAGGCCGGTTTGAATCGTCTGCCGTGTAATTTTTTGGAAAATCAACAAAAAGTAAAAAGTGCAACGCTTTGACGTAGAAAATCAACAGCACATAGAAGCAATTGCAGTTGCATCGTAAAGTAATCGTGGTAGACGGGCCGACGATGCACACAACCCGACAAGGGAAAACGCGGACACGGACGCGACACGGGCGCAAGGAGCTGCCTCTAGCGTCCTGTCGCGTACTTTCCTTTGCGTCTGTGTCGCGCACTTGGCCGCGACAGTACCACCACCCCGTGATAGGGGTCCTATAACTTCGCTCAAGGAGATTTTCTCTAAGGATTCAATTACGTTCCGGTCACACCGATGGACGAAGACTGAACATTCTGCTGAGTTATAACTCATGGTTTTTCTTGATTTAGACCTATCCAGCTCTTTCAGATAGCTCCGAAAATCGGTTGTGTGAAGCGAGCTTGATTATTTTATGACAATAAGTAACGCCTCACAACGAAGAGAGAGCAAGCGGATGCGGACATAACGCAACACCAAGACTGGGGTGGGGTAGTTATAACGCAACCGATATGAACAGGGTCGTTCAATCACTTCCAGTCATTTTAATGGTGCTAGCTTTTCCAAATGCGGTCCTCACAACCCCATTCATGGAAGGGATCGCTCCAACAACAAAATCACAAATCGCAGAGCGTTCCTCCAAGAATATGTAGGTACACTAACTTTCTTCCCAGCCTAGTACTGCAATAATTTTCATCATTTAGAGCGGTCCTTGTTAGAAAAAAACGTGCCACTCGAAAGGCTTCCTTTCGTGATTCAGGGATTACAGTGAATTTTCTTGGAAATATGAATCTTCCCAGCAGCGAGATTGTATTGTTCTAAATGGATTGACATAATAGAGGGTTCTGTTTCTATGACCGCGTCAAAATTTCAATCCCCGGGCAGATGCCGAAACCTGTCCACTTCAACTTGACCCTCTTGCTGACGTGAAATAACGACCACCGTATTTCTATGCTGTTGAGTTCTAAACAGTTGACAGTTTCAAGTTTAGAAGTAGCTTTTTCTCATTACATAGAAAATTCATAATAATGCACAATATTATGACAAGGTATTATTATTATTTCATACTAACACAACAGTGATGTGTGATAGTCATCACTGGCATAACTTTGTCTGGCTTTGGGAAACGGCGCCACCTAAGATAAATAAAGCCGAGCTTAAACTTTCTATAAGGTCGACCGTGGTGTGGAGGAGGGACACAGTACTCAGAGAAGCGGGATTATGAGAAGGGGCACGTCGTACTAGAGGTCACAGATAAACGGCCGCTGCATAGCGAGCGATTGGCTACCACATTAGCCATTATGGGGAGCACTAGCAAGGGCTAGCACCCTTGTCGTTCACTTTCGAGCTGTGTGAACGGCGTATCAGTAATCTTCACAAGCAGCTTTATCCTACCCACCAAGTGGGTGATCCAGTGGCCTGACCCTGTGGCGAGCCTTTGACATTTAAATGAAATGTTCCAATTGTTCAAAAGATCATTTGTAACCGTAACATTTGGATCACTGCCATAATCTCGCCTTCAAGAACAATATGTAGTTGTTCGCTTCCTCTTCCCCCTCCCTTTTTCGCCTCTTCGAGTTAAAGTTACAAAACTGGATAGCGATCTTGCGCAGGCAGTCAAAGAATCTGCTGCAAAAAAAAACTGAGGGTGGTGGACATGACATCGAAAAATTTGGTGACACGGCCGGCATTCCCATTTAAAGGAGCAGTTGCTGCCAAAAAAAAAGTGTTCGGAAAGAGAAATAGAAATAATAGCGCAACACGAACGAGAATGAATGGAACCAAAGTATAAAAAATTCAACAAAACTTAACCCCCTTCACTTACACACCAACGAATAATTACACAAAGAACGACCGTGACGCTAAAATCAAGTTGTAAAGAGAGATGTAGCGACGAAGGCTCTCAAGGAGCCTTGAGAGAGTCAAGAGAAGCGAACACAGTCGTCAACGAGATGACGGTTTTGTGAAGTGTTGAGATAACCTGTCAAATCACTTTCTAGTGACGTGAGTTGACTTTTTGTTTAAAAAACTCTGATAAAACAGAGCTACGGCCGAGTTTATCCAAAATACCTCAATACTCTTAAAAAATTAACAAGCCTCCCTTTATCAAGAACTTTTCTCCAATAGTCAGTAACCAAACATGATATCCTGTCAAACTTCCTATTACCGTTCGGTCAAAAATAAGGCCCAACCGCTGAGCCAGGCATTTTTTCCGGATAAACAGCACCCTATTCCAGTATGAGCTCTCCGCATGACTTACCTCACTGAGCCCTTCCCTAGCATATTTATTTAGCATATTAGTTCAGACCGGTCCCATCTGACAGACTCTCCAGGTCATATACGAATAGTTGGCCGGGGACCTGGGAGAGAGGACAAAAGGACAGTAGACCCCTGTTTAACGTACGGTTCCATTGGTTACAAATGGGGTTTGCTGAATTGTTTGGAATTGTGAGAGCTAATAATCACCTGCACAAGAACGCTGGATCCTGTCAATCAAGCGAATCTCCTTATATCGACCGCACTTTATAAGGCGCTCAACCACGTATCTACCAACCAAGCCGCTGGATCCGGTAACGGCAACCACATCCATCCTGCAAGAATAATTTATATTTTGTAGAAATGCTGAGTTATGAGCAAAAATTTGGCTCCAGGCGGGATTCGAACCCGTATCTCATGCTTTTCGAACAACTGCCACCTAGGCCAAGGGGCTCATAACTCAGCATTCTTGTGAAACTTCACAACACGAACTGTGGGTGAAACAGCAGTCAAGAAACAAAGTGAATAAAAATAATTTATATCTTAGAAATTTCCAGAGAGAGATGAATATGAGCGAGAGATGGGAACGATTGATCATTAATAGGTTGATTCGAAGGTTTCAAAGATGTCTGAAGTCGAGAGCAGCTTTTATATTAGAGGAAGACAAGGTTTGAAAAAGGGTCGTTACATTTGAAAAGAAGGAAATTCCTAGACACCTAACAGGCCTGTCTAAATCTCTTGAATTCGGAGGCCACGTACCCTCGGAATCGACCAACGAGTCAATGGGAGTCCGAAGAGGATAATCGAGTAAGGTAGTTAGGCGGATTATGAGGTCGACTCTATGTAGGAAACGAGTCGACGTCCTTGAAAAAACAAAAAGGCCTCGTGTCCCAGATCTGGACTCTGAACATTCGCGCCTGAGCGATGATGGCATCTGACCAGGACATGGGGGCTATTTGTTCATGGGGATCGGGAAGAAGCGCGTTCAGTCCGAAAGAACTTGTTTGACGTGCTGTGACCACCATATTCGAAGTGGTCGCGTCACGTTGGTCATTCACAGAAAACGATCACCCCACACATCACCAGGGATGCTCTTTTTCGAAAGTACACGGCCTACAATGTAGTGCTGAACTGGAAGGCAACAGAGAAAGAACTATCCTATCTCTGAAGACATAAAAAAACCTGTTGTTGGGTCTATAAAACCAGTTCTTCGAGCGCTCAATTGAAACATTAAGGATCATAGCGGAACGTGTCTTCTATCAGGAAGACCAGAATGACCCGGAACTGCCACGCTGTGGTCTGATACTGTGGTGTTCTTTGACAGACATTAGCTCAATTCTCCTACTGCGCATCGATCACCCAAATGACAATTCACTTCGTCAACTTTCAGTGGCTGGCGGATGAATTGCATACGGACGACTCGCTTTTTCTCATTGAGTCCCTTATAAACGTTGAGTCAAGGAAGTTTCAAAAAATGTTTGGAAAGAAAACTTTCTGTCCCAAATACAATGTGGATGTAGAGAGAAGATGAAAGGTGATTGTGGGAACGGTTTTCCGATTTCTTGCCGCAGAGAAAGCTCAAAGTTCAACTTTAGGGTTTCTCTTTTGAACAGTTGAGCTCCTTCAGTACCCAAGTATTCGAAAACACTAAAACATGTGAAATGGCGAAATTTTAAACGACTTGTTCAGTGAGAAATAAATAATACGCGAAAAATACAGAGGGAAGCATTAAAAGTCTCTTCCCTTCACATTTACCACGGATTTATTTACACTTTGCTTAATTCACACCGGATTTTCTTCATTGGAAATCGAAGGACACACTACAGTCTGTCAAAAGCTCCATGATAGTCTTTACCTCGACGAAACAGAAAGATTTTCCTCTGGAAGCAGGATGCGCTGTACGAGCTCAACAGGGTCGTGGACCATTACGACGTTATCTGAAACGCTTGTCAGAAGCGACCTTGCACAGCCAAAGCTATTGCCTCTAAAGCTATCTACCAGCTTACTGATCGAAGAAATGGGCAGCTTGTAAGTTAGCCTAACATGACCACTACTGTTTGTTTCGAACTTTCACGATCCCCGGGAAATCAAAATTTGGTTAGGCTGGAGCATTACGGTAAGTCTTCGAACTCGACGGTGATGGCAGATAACATTATATTCTGAAGACGGTGAAGGAATCGGAAGGGGCTGCTTCTGCTTACCGGAGAGTGGGGGGGCATGTAGATTTACGGACATTTTACCCTAAGTGTTATCGAGCACAGACTAGCACCCTGCGCGACGAAAACATTGGTGATGTTCGCCATAAGTGTAGTGACTGTTTTTTTTCTGGCTCCCTGGAGATTCCACCGAACATTTTTCACCAGTTTAGCTCCGCCCGCTACCGCGCGCATGACACGGAAGCCTCTGACAAAACTGACAATCGGTGAAGCTTTGGGTTTCACCGCTTAACTATAGCTGCTTCGTTAAATGCATTACTGTCCGTTGCCCATCTTGGCTGTATCTCACTGTTTGATAAGCGCAGTGAAGTGCACAGCTAAAGTGATGTATGTAAACAACCACCATGCATCGAGAATCGAGGAAATTTAGCGGTCGAATAATTTTTGGTAATCTCAAGACGGAATGCCCAGTATTCACTATCAAATTTATTAGAGCATCCCATTCATCCTCAAGAACTCTAGAAGGTGTAGCGGTTGAAAGGTGTTTGAATTTACAATTATAACGCTAATGAAATGATATTGAAATGAAAATGCATTATCTGCAATCTGGTTTCGAGTAATCTCTACGTTCGTACGCATATCGTAATTATCAGTCCTCATCTGTCGTTATCACTTTTTGACCCCCACAAAATATGTTACCGTCCAACCCCCATATCATGTCCCAAAATCAGTTCCTGACGACTGCTGCGAAGCGCACTATGAATTTTGTGAAAATTGTGTTTCAGCGCCTCTTATCTGCTCATATCAGTCGTTATCACTTTGTGACCCCCACCAAATATGTTCCCGTCCCACCCCCTATATCATATCTTGAAACCAACTCCTGACGACCACTGGTGCCCGAGCTATGAATTTCGCGACACTTGCGTTCTAGCGCCTTTTATCAGCCCTTATCAGTTGTGATCACTTTCTTTACCCCACCAAATATGTTCCCGTCCCACCCCCTATATCATATCCTGAAACCAACTCCTGACGACCACTGGTGCCCGAGCTATGAATTTCGCGAACACTATCGCGTTTTACTAGCGCCTTTTATCAAGCCCCTTGATCAGTTGTGATCCTTTCTTTACCCTCACAATATGATCCGTCACCCCTATATCATATCTGAAACAATCTGGACGAACCTTTGGTGGCCCGAGGCGTATGAATTTCGCGACACTTGCGTTCTAGCGCCTTTTATCAGCCCTTATCAGTTGTGATCACTTTCTTTACCCCACCAAATATGTTCCCGTCCCACCCCCTATATCATATCCTGAAACCAACTCCTGACGACCACTGGTGCCCGAGCTATGAATTTCGCGACACTTGCGTTTCTAGCGCCTTTTATCAGCCCTTATCAGTTGTGATCACTTTCTTTACCCCACCAAATATGTTCCCGTCCCACCCCTATATCATATCTGAAACCAACTCCTGACGACCACTGGTGCCCGAGCTATGAATTTCGCGACACTTGCGTTCTAGCGCCTTTTATCAGCCCTTATCAGTTGTGATCACTTTCTTTACCCCACCAAATATGTTCCCGTCCCACCCCCTATATCATATCTTGAAACCAACTCCTGACGACCACTGGTGCCCGAGCTATGAATTTCGCGACACTTGCGTTCTAGCGCCTTTTATCAGCCCTTATCAGTTGTGATCACTTTCTTTACCCCACCAAATATGTTCCCGTCCCACCCCCTATATCATATCTTGAAACCAACTCCTGACGACCACTGGTGCCCGAGCTATGAATTTCGCGACACTTGCGTTCTAGCGCCTTTTATCAGCCCTTATCAGTTGTGATCACTTTCTTTACCCCACCAAATATGTTCCCGTCCCACCCCCTATATCATATCTTGAAACCAACTCCTGACGACCACTGGTGCCCGAGCTATGAATTTCGCGACACTTGCGTTCTAGCGCCTTTTATCAGCCCTTATCAGTTGTGATCACTTTCTTTACCCCACCAAATATGTTCCCGTCCCACCCCCTATATCATATCTTGAAACCAACTCCTGACGACCACTGGTGCCCGAGCTATGAATTTCCGGTCAGACAGACAAACACATACACACACACACAGACACACACACACAACCGCTTAGCCGATTATATATAGTAGGATTTTGTTAGCATAAAAAATAAACAACGAGCACTCCACAGTTATT